ATACCATTTACACTCTGCAGATACATGCTTTTAAACAAAAGTTATTCTGAGAGTCCTGATTCCTGGATAATGTTTACTCATAAGCAATAAAACAAATGTGCTAAAAGAAATTTTAGGGGGGAAAAAGATGTCATTGGAACTGACCAAAGTTCTCTCTAATCCAAGGCTTTCTTTCCCACATGGACAGTGGATACAAGGATAATAATGCTTTTCCTGCTGATTTTTCTGCAAGCATTTCCTTCAGTCCTGGAAGCAGCATCTAACTAGCATCTAGACAATCTTAACCTTAAGTTGCACCCATATGTCAAATCCCATTTTAGAATCATTTAAATTAAGTATCATTCTTTATATGGCAGCAGCTGCAGTTCCCATAGCTTATATGACATATCAAGAACTTCCTCTGTCTTGGCTATCCTGTATCTTCCTCCATAGGCTTCACCAGATTATTTTTGTTATTATGAGAACAAAAAAAAATATCCTGGTTCATCCTTTTTTTTAACAATGCATGCTTCCATTTTTAATTTAAAAACCTACCCAAATATTATAACCTTTCCTTGCAGAGTTGCAGACTAATTTTTACTGCCTTTTCCTGCACTTTTTTCAACTCATCAATATTCATTTTGGAGTACTATGATCAGAATTATATACAATTCTATACAATTTTTCAAATGTGGTCACTCCATAGATGCATAAAAAGGAGTTAACATACACATTTTGCTTTTTAATCCCTTGCTCAAAGGTCCCAACATCTCCTTTTCACCCTGGGGGGTCAGTATCTTCCAAAGATCCTTTTTCCTCCCCCCTCAACAACCTTCATAACAAATGAAAACATTTTTACTCATTTTAGATCCTCTTGTTTTTATATCTTTATCCCTTTACACTGAGCCATGTTTGCTAGTTTAGTTCCTGCTCAGACATTTTTGAAAGATTGTTCTGCAGCATTTTGCCCATGAAACACGGCTGCTGCTCTTGCTGCTGCTCCTCATTGTAGATTCTATACAGCTTTGCCGGAAGCAGGAGGTTTCTTGAGGAAAAACAAAAAATGGCTGCTGACTTTACAACTGACGTGATTGAATCAGATATTTTGGTATCTTCCAAGTCCTTGAAGGTTTAATTGCTAAACTGTGTAATGTTCTATATTTATATTCTCCAGCTGAGTTTTTCACCATTGAAGCGCAAATAGCACATGAGCTCCCCCCCAAAAAAAAGATGTATCCTGCAGTATTTTCAAATTGTTATCTTTTGCAGACTCGGCAATGGAAGCGAATGGCTCTTCCATGGCAAAGATGAGGTAAGTGTTTGCATATTTTTTCTCAGATATTGAAATATGGACTATATGATTAAGGGTCATTGGTTTTATTTGGCTATTCAAATGCTTTGGTGTGCCTAATCAATTAACATTGACAGCGTCAAAGCCATTCGGACATGCCTACTTGAATAGGAGGGAAGCAAAATAGATTTAAACTTTCTTCTGAAAAGAAAAAAAAAGGAAACTTCTGAACAATTGGAGTTGATTATCCAGGAACAGCTCTGGAAAAGAGAACACTCAAATGAGTGGTGTTGCTCTTTTTGTTATTGATTCTCTGCCTGCTTTCTTCCCCCGGACTGCTTCTGTATTTTGGTAAATAAACAGATGATACCAAATATGGGCAGCTCTGTCATGTTCTATTCTCTAAAGCTCTGGTAATAGAAAATGAGTATATTCATTTATTTCAAATATATTCAGCCCATTTTTCTGCTTGAAAAACATCAGGTGGCTTCTTCAACCTGCAAATTCTATGGATCTGCACCAGCAGAGGAAGAACATAAAATAAATTTATATAATTCCTATTCTGGGGCTTGATTTCAAATTAAAAGGAAGCAGAGAGAATGACTCTCTTCAGGTTTTATTCTTTTCAGATTCAAAAGCAGGTTGGATAAGCAGATGGTTTCATATATAAGACAGTCAAAAGTAAGTCTTAGGAAGTAGGTTCCAGTGGGACCCACTGCTAGGTAAGTGTGCCTAGAATTAGTATTATATACTTCAGTCATTCTCATTGCAGCTAATTTCTTAGCTATTGTTCAATTTTAGTATTTTGCTTTCCTTCATTTCCCTCAATTTTCATTTGTATTCTAACCTCTTAGGGGATGTTTACAACTTTACAGTGCTTTTGGAATGTTTGTGAGGAAATTATTGGACTCGTGTATTAAATACAAACTCATTTCTTACTCTAATTACATTTTTTGATCAAGCAGTGATAGCATTTTTGTTGGTGATAGTATTTTGCAACTGAAATGGGTAATCTGTTTTTTTGCTTATTTGCTTTGTTTTTTGTTTCCGTTTTGTCCTGCTACACAGGATGAGATGCACACCTGGCTCCTGGGATTCAGCACAGCAATAATTGACTCCCAAAGCATTAAATCCAAGGCTCAGAGCCTCCCTCTGCCTCCCATCACCACTACAGATGTGAACCTGACCAAGAAAGATAAAGAGAAGAGATTCAGCTTCTTTCCCAAAAAGAAGTAGCCACGTGCTCCAATCGGATGCCTGTGTACTAAGGTGCATAGTGAAAAACTGCATGCACAGGTCTCTTTGGACACCCCTGGTACCACCCAGCACTGTTCCCCACACAGATCTCACTTCCTCCTTTTCATTTTTCACCACATGTCCCCAGATGGCCCAAAGCCAATGTTTCAGGGAAGAAAGCAGCATCCTTGCTTCAGGACAAGCCGTCTTCTCCAAAACAGAGCTGGGAGAGGCATATTCTTGGATGTCTGACCAAATGGACATCACTCCAGAAAAATACTGTTTAAGAGAACAATGCTGTGTGGCTTTTCAGGAATGTTACAGAGAAAAGGAGTGGAACGGAGTTCTATCAGGCCAAAGATAATGAAAAAGAAAATGTGCAGTCTTGAAGCAGTTTCCTTTTCTTTGTATCGTCAGATCACTACCAAAGCTCAGGATTCTATAAGCCGATTTTCCCATCTCCAGTTGGCATAGAATCATCACATGGAATTTAGAAATAATAGTTGAATAATTCTCTCTCCCTCTCTCTGAAGATCAAAGGCAGCATGCCTTCATCCAGCTCCTGGCTTATTTCAGCATTCATGCTAGTTTGTCAAGACGGAGTTTCTGGAGGCCAAATGCTTCACGTTGTGGAGAGATGCAATCTAACCACACACGTTGTTCATGTCATAAAGCACAGTATGTTTTCAACTCATTCAGTCTGCACCCAATAAACTGCAGGCAAAATCCCCGATAATCATAGTAGGTTCAAAGTATAGCCAGAAAATTAAATTATCTATATTCAAACTTGCGCACTCAATTGTTTGGAATTGAGATGTTTGTAGATATTCGCACCCAGGAAATAAATCATATTCACTTTCTACAGAACACTACGAGCACAATCCAGCTAATATGACTTATGCATTTCTCCCACTAGCTAAATTGAGAGAGTTCCGTGGGCCTAACTTGCAACCAACCTGTCCTGGGTTTTGTTCCATGTTATTTAGTGAGATTCTTATCAATTCCATTCTTTATGGCAAAGTATGTAACACTTTGCAACTAGATTGCAGGTGCCACGCCTGCCTACAAGCTTTCTAAAAACATCTATCCTGTATTGGCTCAGCTTGCCAGAAGCAAATAGCTCTTCTGTTGTTCCTTTGTGGAACATGTTGTGCTGAGCATGCGCTTGCCTCAGCTTCTCTCTTCTGCAGCAATGTCTGTTGTGGTGTGTTTGTGAATGGCTCTTTAAAATAGATACTCCTCGCCCACCTTTATGAAGTGTCACAAGCCCCCAACCTAAAGTACGAATTCAGTGCAAAGGCAAAGAGCATCTCAGCTGAATTGCTTATTGGAAAACATTCTTTGAAATGCAGTTGGATTAAGAGTTTAAGGGGCCTGTGGGACTGATGTTCCTACAATGGCCTTTTGGCAAGTATGCCATTCTTGATGGGGATTTTCAGTTCCGGCCAAACTTTAATTCTCTCTTCAACATCCAACCCCTAGGGCTCATTAAACTTAATATTTTTGGTTTGGGATGATATTATACCATTCTAAAAGTGCCTTAACCTAGGGACATTTCATAAGTATTGCTTCCGGAGTGAGCAAATTCAATAAGCACCATGCACAGAAAGGTCTGGGTTTTTCTTACTTGAAAGGATGCTGTAAGTCGGGTTTTACAGCTAAAAAAGAACGCATGAGGGGGAACCATCTCTCTGCTTAATATAAATTGCAGTGAGTTTGGATATAGGTCCAAAGAACCAAGGTTTTAGAGTCTTCAGTTGCTTTTTGTTGTATTTCAAAATGCTGTGCTCTTCCAAATTGCCTGGATTGTAATCGGCAGGCAATAAACTTATTAATGCAATGGGGAGATTGAAACTACATTTGATATGCTAGTGTAACTTATTTTTAAAAAATAGTAGTATAATGGTCTGCATTGTGGATTTTCCCTTCCAAAACTATTCTGAAGCATCACTGCCAACATTCTCCCAGTGTATGTTTAGGAGGCACAGAAAGTTACTAATTTATAATATGAAGGCTACCTAACCTTATATAAGGCCTCGTAAAATACCAAATTAACTTTGGGTTTGTAGGTCAAATAAACAAGTCATTGTGAGCACATGGGCTCATTAAATTGAGCAGTATTAGTTGTGGTTTAGCCCCCTCCAGTCAAGTAGAATTCAAGTCTGCTTATTCCCAGTCACTTCTAGATTAAGGGCACTTTTGATCTTAATCCATATCAGGGTACAGGAAGAAAGTGCTCTTCTCTGCTCTTCCAATCAATCCTTATAGGGAAAGAAGTTATTCTAATCAGCACACTTTTACTAGAGCACATATCAAGTTAAGCCAAAGAAAGTAAGCAAGGGGTTGTAATTTAACAAGGTTTTTTTTTAACCTGATGTAAAGCTATTCTCAGGCAAGAGGAAAGGAGTAATACAGATACAGCAAATTTATGGGTTTTTTATGTTCCAAGTATTCTTTAAGATTGTCATGTGCTCAACTGATTCATTTGCCAAAGTCACCAAAAGAGATTTTATTGAACATTTTGCTTAAATGCATTTCACTTGTACATTTTAGCACTCAGAGGGAACATGTACAGCAAGAGAGAAGTGCCATCATCATCGCTTTCTTGGAGGATATTTTCACCTGTCACTCCTGAGTTTAAAATTGTAGTGCACTGCCCATTTTCAGATAACTGAAATAAAAACATGACTAAGATACTCTTTGAGGCTATTCCCGCTTTATGAGGACCACCACCCTGCACTGTACTACCTGCTTATAGAAAGCGGCTGTATTCCTTACGTGCATTTTCTTCCATCCTGTTTGTTTAATCTGTCATGAACTGGGCTTCTAAACCCATTACGAATTTCTCAGCTTGTAGGCATCGGGTAGAGTTGGCTGTGACTCACAGCAAGAGGCTCTTACCTATTAACAGACCAAAAGCATTGGCGTTATCCCATAGGATCCATTTCCTGCCTGGTGATTGGCAGCCTTATCTTATCTGGGCTTTTCCCTCTTTGTTCAACTGCTTTTCACAATCCCACTTATGCAAGTCAGCACATGTGAGAAGGGAATGTCATGTGACCAGGCCCAAAATACATATACTTCAGAGTGCCAATAGCTGAAGTAGCCAAAGGCCTCTCCTACAAGATCTGGGGGCTGGAGTTAATCCTCTTTTCACAGCTAGGCATCACGTTCTGCCTGCTTCCAATGTGCTTCCACTGTCCAGAGAAAAGAGCTAAAGCTTCAGAATGTGCTTCAGAAGCAATTTAACTTTTTTTTTTCTAATAAATGAACCAATAAGCTTTTCCTGGCTCTGTGATTTTTGGGGTTTTTGTGTGTGCGTGTATGTGTGTAATTTATCTTCCTAAATTCCCACGATGAGACCAGTATGCTTAAATGATCCATTATCTCAATACAAAGGAAAGGGTGCTAACATACCTTACTAAGTGGTGGTGTTTTATGATACACATTAATGTCTTAGTGCTTTCTGTGATGAAGAAATGCTTCCAGTGCAAAGATTCATTGGGGGTTTTCTACAGGTGATATAAAATCCACCAACACAACACTCAGGATCATGTTATCCCCTTCAGAAGCTTTGGTGGTTTCATCAACTCAGGCTACAGTGCTTCACAGTTGGCATCAATTCCACATGCAACTACTTCTCAGGAGGCATTTATGCTTCGCCGAAGTAATATAACTGCACTTTAGATTCTTCTCATACTGGGAAGAGCACTCCAAAGGCTACCAGACTGGTTAGATTTGAAAGGGCAGAGAACTCTGTGCTTCAAGAAAGAAAGAGATCTTGTTTCTACCATCAGGTTGCAAGAGATTCACAACCACTGGTTCTCAAACGACAATGCTCCAATGACAGAGACAGAAAGTTGGTGTTCTGACAGAGGCTATGGATCCGTAAGATGTAAACTGTCAACCTGCCTTGGAAATAGAAAGAAAATATCTCTGACCTGGAATAGTTTATTTCCTCCATGTTGGAATAGGAAGAAAACTTTTTACTCCATAGGATTTCTTTGCTCAAAAGGTATTTTAATGCAAGACAAATTATACTAAGAAGATGGGCTAGAATGAAGTAATGCGACTTGAAATGGCTTAGAACCCCAATGGATTAATAGACCAGTGTCAGTCCTTGGTACTGCTCATTTTGGAGAGAGATCAGTGACTTCAAGAGTTGCCAATCAGCTTTGTAGCATTTTTTTGTGCATAGGAAATGTGGTACAAAAATCAGTTATTGCAATTTCCCCAATTATATCCCTCCCCCAACAGTGAAGAGGTCAAAGCTGTATTCGCAGGTCAAAAGTGGTTATTGCACAATGCATATAGATTCAAATATGTACATTAACAGTAATAGGTCGGGTGTTCCTAAGCTGAGAGTCCTGGAATTAACCAAAGCCATAGTAACATTACATTCTTTAAAAAAAAAGAATAATAACTTATTTTCCTAGGAGATGGAGCAATGTACATCTTGCTCTGGCTTCGTAAAGCAAAAATTTCCAAATACACCAACTCCTGAAGGGAGGAACATGTTCTGTATGATGATTGATCTGTATTGTTTCTGCTTTGACTGGAAGCTCCCTGATTTTTCTGAATGTATTAAGAGTTCTGCCCAATAATGCTGCCTGGTGCAGTGTCAGTGGCATGTCAGATCCATGTTCAAGTTCACAGACCTTTAAAGAGAGCATCTTAAAAAAAAAAATCCTCAGTTTGAGGCAGTTGCAACTTCCCAGAAATTTCAAGCATGAGGTGGAACAGGCAAAGAAGGTTCTGAGTAGTAATCCAAGAAGAGATGGAGATTTGAGAACTCAATGGCACAGGAACAAGAGATGTGGTGTTCAGCTGGTGGAATTAAGGGTCTGAAATTTCTCTCTCAAGTTTTTTACCAGGTTGTTTTGACTGCCGGTTTTCTCCCACCATGCTTCCTGAACATCACCCTCATGTCTTTGATGTTCTTCTGAGTCTTGATACGACTTGTACCGCTCCACCAACTCTTTGAGAGAAAGCTTCTCTTGGTCTGAAGAGGAGAGAATCTGTGGTTCTCTTTCATCGGCTTTAGCTTTATTAGTCCCTTCGGGCAACTTCTCTATCACAATCACGTGCCGGTTGTTCTCCAGTGATGCCTTTGCTGTGACACACAATTCCTTTGGAGTATCGCAAACAAGTTCCTTGGGGATGGAATCAAGAGAGGACTTTCTCCTGCAGCTCTGTTTGTCCCATTGCTGGCTTCTTACGTCTGTTTTTGCAATCCCCTTTGAACACTGGAATCCTGCCTGCATCTTAACATCATCTACCATTTTCTCAGGTGCTGAGCAACTTCTGTTGACTAGCGGGGGTCTGCATTTCTCAATCGTCACCTGACAGGAATACCTGGACCTCAGCTCCCGCACGTCGGGCCAGTCGAATTTCTCGGTCATGATGGGGCTGAGGGGACTGTGAGAGAAGGTGCAGGAGCTGGTGGGGGAAGATAGGCTGATGGAGCTGTTACTGGAAGAGAAGCGCTTAGGTGACTTCTGACATGTTGAGGAAGTGGAAAGAAGGCCCAGTGAGCCAGCCTCCTGAAGCACAATTTGTTCATAGTTGGGGAGACACAAGGTAGACTTCTTTTGGCCTAAGCAAAGAAAAAAAGTCAGAATAAGACAATGTTGGGACAAATAGAGGGGGATTTATTGAACCAACCAGCTCAGTGCGATTGGGAAGTCCATTCTTTCTCCTGCAACCTAACACTTTTGCCTAGTTAGCAGCAGCTCTGCACTCACAAATCACGTATTTATAGGAGGAGCCAAAAATGAGAATCTGCATCTCTATAACCTTGGGTATTAAGAGTGGCAATGTGCTGGTTATAATATCCTAAACATTCAAGACAAAAAGTATCTCTTTCCTCACTCCTCTTATACCTCTCTTGATTCTATTTTTAAACCTAAATGGAACTCAGAAATTTAATCTTATTAGGTTACATCTGAAAAATCATATATTTGTTTCTATCCAAAGTAAGAACACTATTCCAGTTATGTCAATTAAGGGAACAGGACATGATAAAAGAACGGATACTTTGTTGATGAAGAATGATTCAACCAAAACATCTAATTCAGTAGAATATTTGCAATTCAGGGTTGGTTATGGAGTTCTTAATGGTCTTTGAGCTTGGTTGTTTTCTTGCAGAAATTTAATTACCCAACTGGGTAACAGGTGCTCTTTTTTATATACCGTGGCTTGCCCTTCATTGTTGGAAGTTGGGTAATGAAACGTCAGCAAGAGAGCACCAAGGACTCCACAATCTCTAATTCTCCTAAAAGGGATCTATTAGATGCTATTGAAAACAGACCAATAGTGTAAAATGGATTTCAAGTGGTTCTTTCTTCTTTCTTTGAAAGAAGATGTAGCCAATGTTAAACATGTTTTAGTCTATGAGTAAAAAAATCTTGTGCCTACAAAGATTTGGAGAACTTCCAATATTTATATACTTATTTTTATTTACTAAATGTTTATACCACCCATCTCACTACCCCAGGCTATAATATAATATTTCTTTCCAAGAACCAATCTTGTCTGGGATTATGGAAGTTGATCCAAAACATCTAGAAGGTACTAGATTATCTAATCCTGAATTAAACTCTTCTCAATTGGATGATATACAGGTAGTCTTTAACTTAAAACTTAAGTTAACAAAACCTTATGGTCACTTCTTGTATTTATGGCCATTGCAGCATTCTTAGGGTCATGTGATCAAAGTTCAGGTGCTTGGCAACTGGTGTGCATTTGCGATAGTTGCAGCATCCCAAAATCACGTGATCATCATTTATGAGTTTCCAAGCCAGTTTCTGATAGGCAAAGTCAATGGGGAAAGCCAGAGTCCCTTAACAACTGCAGTGATTCATGTCAACTATGGCAAAAGAAGTCATAACATTGGGCATCAACAACTGCCTTGCTTAGCAATGGAAATTCTGGTCCCAATTGTGGTCATAAATTGAGGATGGCTTGAGATATATTCTTATGGGTGTTCTAAACCATATTTAGAAGCTTCAATTGGCATACAAAACAGGAATCAAAGATGTTTCTAGAGTTCTGCTTTTCAGATCACTTTATTGCAGCTTTGTTTAACCACTGGCTAGAATTCCTTTCTGGTTCAGTTCAAGATGGTATATATTATGCACCAAACTTTAAATGAGCCATTCTAAACCCCTGTCCACTCAGTTAATTAAAGCTTCCAGTATTTTAAGCAAGCCGGGAGAAAGTTATTATCCTAAATGGCTCGAGACCAGCATATTGAAAGGTCTTCATGTATCTATTCTCCTGCTCCATCAACCAGAGATCCTGCTCCTCATACAGCTGCCAATAAAATGATGTCTCCATGCAGTGTTAAGTTTTCAGGACTTCCTGAAGTGTGGCATCTTAATTCATTAATTCTCAAAGTGGTAGGGCAGGGGTTTCCCTGATGACCTAGCTAGCTTATAAATATATCCCTATTTGTTTGACCTATTATGGGATACAGGTAGTCCTTGACCTACAACCATTCATTTAGTCACCATTCAAAGTCACAACCACACTGAAAAAATGACTTATGACCAGTCCTCACACTTCCAACTATGTGGCATCTCCAAGGTCACACAATCAAAATGTAAACACTTGGATTAGTGGCGTGTATTTATGCTGGTTGTAGCATCCTGGGTTCGTGTGATCACCGTTTATGACCCTCCCAGCTACCTTCCAAAATGGAGGAAGATTAATTCATTTAATGACTGCATCATTTGCTTAGCAACTGCACTCATTCATTTAACAACCATGGCCAAAAAAGGTAATAAAAGTGGGCACAAACTTACTTAACCACCACTTGTTTAGCAATGGAAATTCTGATTCCAATTGTGGTTGTATGTTGAGGACTCCCTGTAACTCCTAGCTGAGCTTGGCTGATCTCAAAAAGCTAAACTGGGTTTGGTTTGGTTAGCATTTAATCAGGATTAATTAATGAAATCCCGGGGCTCTCAGCTAGACTGGAAAGACAAAAAGAAATCCCAATAGAAGGCAATGACAAAGCTCTACACTATTGCCAAGGGAATTTTTTTTGCTAACTGATATTGCTTATTATAATGTGCTAATGTTCCCCATGTTACATTTTTTATATTGTAGGATTTTAATACTGCAAGCCACCTTGGAATTCTACCAAAACAAAAAGATACGATAAAAGCAAATTTATAATATAGTACCTAAGAGATCAATTGCCTGCAGTTTTTAGAGACAAAGCATTTCTGTCTTTTCTTTTATTAAGGCAAGGAAAGGCAAGCCTGTGGAACAGACAAATAGTAATAATCTGTCTTTCTTTCTACAGCAACCTTACTTCTAGGTATTGCTGTAATTAAGATAATAGCAACAAATGTCTTCTTGGCCATACATACCTTTGTCTCTCTTAACCACTCCCTGTTGGCCAGTTGACGTGTTTCTCTGCATCTCCTCCTCTACTTCAGCAAGTCGCCTGCGCATGGGTGGTTTCTGGTTCTTAATCCGGAGGCTGTATTGGCGGGCCAACTGGTAGACTTTGTTCCTCACCTTCTCTGTCAGCTCAGCCTCAGTGAGATGAGCCAGCCGCATTATGTGAGGGGGCATCTGAGAGAAACTCTGATCTTGATCACAGCTCTCTAACTCTTCTGCTGCTTTCCAGGGTAATCTGGATGGCACGGTCTGCTCCACAGGAGCCTTGTCCGCAGGAGGGGACACCGCTGGCTCCTCCTCTACTATGTCCCCAAGATCGTCATCCTCCAGTATAAGAAGTGGTTCATGAAAGTCAAAGCCATTCTCCTGATTTCCGAGCCTGTCTTTCAAATAAGACTCAGTCTGGCCCAGACTCCCATTTGTTTTGCGCTCCCTACAGTCTTCTGTCTTCTTGTTCCAGTGCTTGCTCTTTGGTTGCTCCATTTCGTCCCAGAGTTTAATCATCTCATTAGGCGACCTGAACTCTGCTTCAGTGATAGGCATTGGATTCTCCTCACTGGTTGTCTCCAAATGGGGAGACGGGAGTGTAGCACCAGACCTATTTGAAAGCATCAAGGATACTGCCTTGCCTGCTACACTACTGTCCAAGGGGGGAGGTCTCTTCCTCTTCAGCATCTCCTGCCCAGGCTCTGGCTGGGGAAGACTGTTTATCCGAAAAACAGAATTTCTCACCAGCCCTTTGGGAATGAAGGACAGGCTCTCCCTCCGTCTGACACTGAAGTTAGCATCCTGGTGCTCAGCATAATCATAGTAACTCTTGATCTTGTCCAGCAGCAGCCGGTCCTGGTGGGACAGCATTGATTCCTTCCGTCGACAAGAAGAATGGTCAGGCTCAAGCAGACCAGGCCGCACTGCACCATTAGAAGCACCGTTGCAAGGTTCAGCAGAGGGCTCTGGCAGGATGCTGCAACACTGGGAGTCCACAGTAGTGCAGCCATTGTTGTAACACACAGCCTTCTCTCCCCCTTCCAAGCTCAGAATGCTGCTGCTCCGGCTGGCCATCTTTGGTGTGAGGTAGCCCTTCTCTTCCTCGAGGACCAAACTATTGCGACGGGAAAGGCTGCTGGCAAAGCGCTCTGCAATGATACTGGCCTGATCTAGCACAGAAAAGGGGAGGATGCTGCTGGACTGCGGTGCATGACCATCTTCCTCCTCCTCTTCCTCCTCACTGCTCAAAGGCTTCAGTTCTTCCACATTTTCAGCAGACTCCATGATATTTGAACTTTGATCCAGGAGCCCATGGTGATCTAGATCTGGATGCTGAGGGCTCTCTTGTAGACATTCTTCCCTACGTGAAGGAATGTCTAACACTTTGTCAAGCTCAATAGGCGATCGAACCTGGGAACACATCAAAGAGAAGAGATGAAGAGAAAAGGGATCTCAATGACAATGATTTGAGCCTTTACATCAGTGTTGACTCTATTAGTCCCTAAAGTTTTCTTGGCAAGATTTCCTAAGTGATTTGCCATTGCCTTTTTCCTAGGACTGAGAGAGTGTTATTGGGCCAAGATACACACCTGGCTTTGTGCTTTAGGCAAGACTAGAACTCATAGTCTTCAGGTTTCTAGTCTGCCTTAATCACTATATCAAACTCTCTCACACTGATTCTTACCCAAATTAAATTACTGTAATGACAGTTGGATGGTTATGTATTATGAGCCGTGGTGGCGCAATGTTTAGAATGCAGTACTGCAGGCTACTTCTGCTGCCTGCCGGCTGCCTGTAATTCATCAGTTTGATTCTCACCGGTTCAAGGTTGACTCAGCTTTCCATCCTTCTCAGGTCAGTTTATCTGAATACAGTATATAAACATAAATCATTTTACATGCTGCATCTCTTCTGGGCAGCACAAATTGCCGACCAGATGGTGTTGTACATGATGCAAATAATAGAAATAATTAATAGGCTGAGCTTTGATCAGAGCTGCATTATCTGCCAGAATTCACCTACCTTTGGCACAGATGACACAATCTCCACAATCCTCTCTCTAATGCTAGAAGAGTGTTCTTGTTTGGGTCCTTCCTGTGTCTTGTGGCCCTTGCCCTGAACCAAAATAGCAATGATCTTGTTAGAGGGCTAAATGGTTGGTTCTGAGAATAAAACCATTGTGTTTATGCTGGGCTATCAGACAAGAGCAGCCAAATATTTCTATTCACTCTCTATTATCATTCTGGTATAACTTAAGTCTTATTTGTGTCCCCGTGTATACAACTGGGGGGGGGGGGAGGTAGTGTACGCCAGTTATTGAAATATATTCAAGAATGATCAAAAGTCTCTATGCAGGCCCAAGACTAATATTCCAGCTACTGGATACAGCAATAAGCTAAGCAAATGGAAGGAGAATATATGTCAGTGAGATGTCAGCTCACCTGCTGCCCAGGCACAAAATAGTTTGCAGCCAGCCATTAACACCAACCTTTATTCTGTCCGGTAGCCAGTTTTATATCCTACAACATTTAGCTATTATACGGTTCAATCTTTTTAAAAAATATGCAGGCTGATCAATGCTTTGTAATATATGCCTTCAGTACCGGAGCCAAGGAAGGGTCCAAAAGAGCATGGAATGGAATTTGTCAAGGGGATGACTTAAAGATGAACATTATCTCATTACTGAATGATTAATTTAGCAGAGCTTTCCTTGCACATGAACAAAATAGATTAAAAAATGATTTTCAACAGAGACAAAGCAAATGGATCCAAGAATTGTCTTTTGTTATCAAGCGCAAATCCAGTTAGGTTGTGTGGGACAGCGTAAAGCGCAGAGTCAGTTGGTAGTGCCACTTAATAATTAAGAGCCCTACATGCAATGCTTCTCTTTTAGAGATACCGTCTAAGGCTCTAGGTCCTAGTTGGTCTATACCAACCCTGGTCCAGTTCCAACTGATTAGAAGATTTTAAGGAGCGCAGCCTAAGCCATGCACTAAGCCAACATGCAGGAGGGAGATGCAGCAGAGACTCAACAGGCACCTCACCGTGCTGCCCCAGGAGAAAAGCAAAGTATTGGCCCGATAGTGCCAGCAATGGAGGACTGCCATCAAGGAGCTTGCAAAGTCTGACACCTGCTCCATTCCTACCAGCCTGTCCTCCTCCTCCTCTTCTTCTTCTTCCTCTTCCTCCTCTTCTTCTTCTTCCTCTTCCTCCTCCTCAGCTCCATTCTCTTCCTCGAGCCCTGTCTCCTTCTCACTGCCATCACTTTCAGCCAGCTCTTCAGAAGATTCCTGGGGAAGGGGCTGCTGATCCTCCTCTTGGGATAAGCTGTTGGGGATTTGTGGGGGTTCCCCAAACTCCAGAAGGGCTCCATCACTATCTGCATGCTATGTGAAGTCAGGGTAGTAAGGGGGTCCTTTAGAAAGGTCTTGGCAAGGGGATGCTATGACAACAGGACTTCTCAATGGTTCCATTTCTTCAAGAGCTACAGAATATGGCTTAGGGCAAAGGTGAGTGCCCTCCCACTGGCAGGTCGGATTAAGCCTTAAGAAGCATTTTAAGGGACTGAGGGCTCAACAAAAGGCACCCATTACTTTTAATTCCTTTAAGGGGGGGGGGGCTGTTTTCCAACCTTTTCAAAAATTCTGAATCTTACCTTTAATCCTACTGAATATTTGCAGCACATAAAAAGGAGAAGGAAGGAGACAGTTAGAGGACAAAAGGCAGAGTTTCATTTCCTTGCTCAGTTATGTATCTGGCATACTGTTTGATCCCTAGGTCCCTTCTCCATTTGCCCGGGGGGGGGGCATAGAATCAGAAGACCTGAACAATACGCAAGTGCTAAATATATACATATACATATACATACATACATACATACATACATACATACATACATACATACATCTTTTATGCAGTTTGAAAGGCATATCTCTGATCATTAGAGAGAGGCTTATAATTAGAAAGAGAAAAAAAGGCAAATGGGTGAGTGCAGGCAGCCCACAAGCTGTGCCTGACTCCACCATCTGTTTACAGCTAATATAATACCCCCAGACAGTGTTGCCAAAATATGGCAGCAAAAACACTAATTGTGAACCATGCAATTTCCTCCTCTCCTTTGTGTAAATAAGGGTAAAACTCACTTTGTCTCTTCAATCCTCCCAAACCCTGTTGAGCAATTCTGGGAGGAAATTCTAAAGAAATCACCAACTTCATCACTTTGCCTAATGATAGAGAAATAGCTTATATTTACAAGTTAGTCCGTTCTGGCTTCCTTACCTTTGTCACTCAGTTGCTTGAGGATCTGTTTTGTTGGCTCTGTGATAAAAACACAACAACATTTCCAAGATCAGTGCCTGAAGGAAGCTGTATCAAGTACAGGAGCACCCAAGACATTTCAGAGGATGAAAGCACCAGCACCAGCTTTAGCCCACAGCCTCAACCTGCCGAAAAGACAACAACTTAAAGCACCCAAGTGGAGAACCACACACCAGCTTTTCCTGCAGATGGCAGGGAACATGCCTCTCAGACAGCACCATCAATTGCCTTCTCTAAGCCGCCAGCACTAAGTAAACCAAAGCACAGGTGGTCAAAATGTTCTTGGATTTTAGAACTCTTAATGCAATGTAAGGCTTATGTATCATGTGAGCATGTGCACACGCTCAAAAATAATAGCCTCAAGCAATTCAGCCCTATTCTGCAGTCAGAATACCTAATGCAAACAATGGTCTCTTCCCCACAAGCCTGGGTCCTGCCTGTGAGATGGGAAGGAAATTGAAAACGGCTGTCCTAACAGTGGCCTCTTTTCCGTATCCCAAAAATGAGGCTGCCAAAGTTGCTGTCCTCTTATGAAGGCAGGGGTGGTGAGTTTTGTTGCTGCTGTGGGACAAGGAGGCTCTTTCTCCCATGGCTGCAAGTTGGGATCTCTCCCATCTTCACAAGGTCTTCTCTGCCATGCCCCCTAGAAAGCCCCACAGCTGCCTTTAGAGCTGGCAAGCATTTAAGTTATTGGTAGGAATACTGGTCTTGTGGACAACCTTCACAAGATAAGGGGGAGGGGAAGGGAGGGGAGAGGAGAGACCTTTGGTTCTGTTGTCTCTGGCAGCCCAAAGTGCAATGTTCCTAGAGATACAGAACCCCATGGCCAGGTGGGAAAGATTACTTGGGCAATGGGGCCATCTACTACAGTATCCATATATAGGAAGGCTTATTTCCAATGGGAAATACTATTTCCTGCCAGATTGTTTGGATGAAGGCTGATTCCAATGTGAAAAACTACATAACCACAAGGACACAGGCCATCCCAGGATCAGGGCAAAGGAGCTCTGTGGCTGATGCCATAGTAGGACTCTAATCATTTCCTTCTCCTAAGGGATTCGTTCTGTTGGTTAAAAGACCCACAACTCTAAAAAGGATTTCATTTTTGGGGGGAACAAAAAGGCTAGAACTTTGTGCACAACAATATTAAGCTTTACATTCTTAACTGCTCAAAGACCTGCTTGGCCTTTTTTGGGCTCCTGATATATTAAGAAACATTTCCTTTATATCTTTAAAAGCCAAAGAACTAGAACTGCTCATTTAAAAAAAAAGGAAAAGAGAGAACTGGAATTCTCAGTGTTAGGTTTTGTACGGTAGTCTTTAACTTATGACCACAATTAGGTCCATTATTTCCATTGCTAAGCAAGGAGATTGTGAGATGAGTCAAGCCCGATTTTATGACCTTTTTGCCATGGCCATTAAGCAAATCACTGCCGTAAATGAACCATGTGGTTGTTAAATGAAGCAGGCTTCCCTCTTTGACTTTGATTGTTGGAAGCCAGCTGGGAAAGTTGCAAATGGCCATCTCATATGAGCCAGGATGTTGCAACCGTCGTAAACACCCAAACTTTGATTACATGCCCGTGGGCAATGCTGCGGTGGTTAAAAGTGTGCGGACCAGTCACAAGCCATGTTTTTCAGTGCGGTTGTAAATTTAATCAGTAAATGAGTGGTTGTAAGTCAAGGACTACCTGTATTAACCACTTCAATTGTGGTGAAGTGCTGGATGCATAACCCTCTGAGTAAGAACTCCCTTAGCCTGCTGGTGGGGACTGAGAGGTATGTTCAGCCAAGAATACTCATGCAAAACTACTCTAGAGAAATGCTGGACCCAATTCAGAAGCTTCCCAGCCCTTTGCTTTCCATTCCAGAACATCTGGCTGCAGACCCACAAACTAACAGAAGCTCGCACCCGATTTTCTGCGATTTTTAGGAGCTGCTGCAGCTGTGAAGTTGTGGAGTCCATCTAAGAGCTTCTCAGCACTGGTTTTGCCACAGAACGGTTCTATGAATAGGACATAAGACGTTAGCACCAGTGGCTTTAGCTGAACTGTTCACCAAATTAGGAGTCATTGTAAAGCTTACCAAATAGTCAACAAAGGAATGACAGCCCAGCTATGCTTTCCTTCCTCTTGTGCAATGCTTGTTTTCTGTCAAGCGAAAGTTATAAAAAGGAGCTCCCATTGATAGGAAGCTCACCAGAGAACAGCATGGAAAAATAGAGTGCTCATATGTTTCTTTGCCAAACAGTTTGGGTTTAATTTTTATCTATTACTGTTTTTTTCACAGTAACAAAAAGGCTTCCTTTGTTGGCCATGTTTGTTGGCTTTGCAAAAAAACGGAATCCTGCTTAGTCTGCCATTCTACCCCGGAAGCCCATAGACCTTTTGAAACTCTCAGTCCGGGTAGATAATGTTGTGGCCCGCTAACGGCCAGCGAATCGGGCAGCAAATTCGGACAGTGAGGAGGTTGGGGAGGAGCATGGGCCAGTCCTGGAGTCTGGAGAAGGCTCTAATGAGGGCTATGTGTCGGAGGCAGAGAGGGCGTCAGAGCCATATGCCAGTTATCAGCTTCTTTCAGAATCAGACATCAGTGAGGCAGACGAACAGCTGGAGCCTGTTCCCAGTGTGCGCATGGACAGAGTTGCCAGATGAAGGGAACATCTAAATAATGGGTTGATTTGGGAGTAAGGCCACAGGTGGACAATGAATGGCCCCTCCCAGAGGAAATAAAAGAGAAGCAGAAGGAGAGAGGCGTTTGCAGGAGACAATTAGTTTGCTTAATTGGTTGGTGACTCTCCGAGACTCCTTGCCAGGTTTTGCAGATATCGGCCTGGCAGCTCTCCAGGCCAGATAAGGTCTGTGACTGTAAATCCTCCCTTGAAAGACTTTGCTGGATGTGAATGAGCAGAATTCACAGTCAATTAATAAAAGGGGTTTTTGTCGGGACAAGGAGTTTGCTTCATGCTCTTAGGAAGCCTAGGTCAGAACAGATAATCAAGATTTTAACACTTCTATCCACACATGAGTTTCTCTTATGATTAGGCATGTGACAGAAAGAACGGAGCTGCATCTTCTGACTTCACCCCTGCCGGCTCTTGAACCCTGTCATCTATATATTTGAAGATGAGTTCTCATATGGGGAGCCTGGGGTGGATAGGTGGGTGTCCCACATGATTTACAAACCTTCATGCTCAGGATGGCATAGAACCAGAATCAACAGGAAGCATCTGCAACTGTTTCAATAAAAATTCAACAACTGCTGCTGCCTAAACATGGAGTCAAGGCAACTGGTTCCTTTGGACAAATAGGTTTCTAACTCTTAAAATAGTCTTTGTTAAGACCCCTTTAATATTCTAGAAATATGATGAATTCAAATTGGCTGGCCTAAATCACCTCATGATGGGAAAATTCTCCTCCCTCCCACACAGGCTGCTGAACCGCAAGGGCCAGCTTCCTTCACCGCTAGGCACACCCACCAAAGATTAAAATCTATACGTAAGACTTTTGCGCTCTTCATCAGAGCATTAAAGAACTAAACTTGACTCACACACATCTTTGGGTAAGGTAAAGAGGCTGAGTAGGCCCAAATGGAATTTAGATACTCATGCATATTGAAACAGAAATTACAATATCCAAATGTCATTCAGTAAAACAAGAACCAGCTTGGCCAGTCTTGTGCTAACTTGCAGGCTTTCCACTACACCAAATTCTGGAGCAATTCAGAAAAAAAACCGGCCCAGCAACTTAACTTAGCAGCTGCTTCGGTCAAAGGGTGGGAGGCAAACATGCTCATTTCCTGTAAGGGCCCTGTAATGTTGCCTCAAAAATATGACAGTCAAAATACAACAACCACACTTATGTAGTAAATGCTATGTAACTATTCTGTTCCACTGAGTTTTGACAGAAACTTGGCCCAAATATTATGGACGAATGAAAAGTATCTCATAAAAGAGGGGATTTTATACCCCCACCCCAATGAATTGGATCAGATTAAAGGGCACTAGCCCAGCCCAAACATCCCATTTCCAAAAAATAAACATTACTTCTGAGGTAATTTATCTGCTGGATCGCTCCATTTCTGGCTAGCTCTGTTATGGATATAACCTGCAGCTTCCCAGGTCAATTCATCACTTCCTAACATTTTCTGAATCACCATTTTCCCAAGGATATTAATCAGCCGTGATTCAAAAGTGTCCCCGAATACTGGCTGGGGAATTCTGGGAGTTGAAGTCCGGACATCTTCAAGTTGCCAAGGTTGAGAAACACTGCTCTGGGTCTTTTCTTTGTTCTTTGGTCCCACATTTCACTTCACAACAACTCATTTTAGTAACCTCACTTCAACTGCTAAATCACCGTTCTTCAGAAACGGAGGTGATAAGAGCACTCTATCTTCAAGGGAAAATTCCCATAGAAGTGTCCAAAATACACGAATCTATACTCCTCACCTGCTGTGTATGTGAGATGTGCCAAAAAAAAAAAAAATCCCTGTCAGCTGTCCTGAGATCTAGAGCAAAATATAAAAAAGCCTAATAACATCCCAAACCAAAACAGGCTGGAGGATCCACTAACAGAAATAAAAAGTTCTAAATGTAATCCTTGACGTACGACTATAATGGAGCTTGCCCATTACAGTTGAATGTTGTAATGCTCGTAAAACAATTGCATGACTGACACAATTTAATAACATTTTTGCATCAGTCTTTAAGTAAATCAATGGTTTGGGATGTTATT